ACCACAACATTTGTGGGTTGGCACACAAGAGACCTTGTTTTCGCAACTTGGTCACATTGGTAGGAAGACTATGAGGAACTTACCTAGTCCGGAGTCCATTGTCTGCATGATTATTTCCAAAGTTGGATCGTGGACGTCGTACTTTCCCAGACGTTTCGCCGGCATCGTAGTCGGCATTGTCAGTGAGTCTCGCCATTCGTAACACCATAGTAGAGCCCATCCTTTGACCTAAACGTGTGCTAAACAGTATAGGTATCTCCCCTTCTGACCTGGACTATTTTCATTTCCTATATCCTCCTATCACGCCTTCACTGTTACCATGTTTACCATGCTTATTTTAATGTAGTGTGGTGTGCTCCTTTAAGCGACATTAATGAAGACCCATCAAACTTTACGCGGTCGTTCTCACCCTCTTCACCCTTGTGCTGGGAATGTTGACCAGAGTCTGCCATATTGTTACCTAATCCTTCCTGGGTACTATCAGAGTCTCCCTCTTGCCCCGTAGAATCCGTCTGCTATCTCCCTGGTAAACGTATTTCACTCGACCCATGTCTCCCCATATGTGCTATTCGAGGCGTTATTCGCCCACTGCTGCGTATGGATGACTAATTCAAGGTTAAAGCATTTGAGTAAGTCTCATGGTAATGCCTTTGCTACATGTACCACGTCTCTGGTACAACAGACCTACTGTAGGTTAACTGGCTCTAGTCCCTGCAGTTTCTATCCTGTTTATATCCCTAATACCAAGTCTATGATTTGCCATGCCCTAGTCTCTTGTATCCCAACCCACAAATGTTGTTTTGCAGCTTGTTCTAATTTGGTTCAATGTTGAACCACAACATTTGTTGGTTGGCACACAAGAGACTAGGGTATGGCAAATCATAGACTTGGTATTAGAGATAGAAAGAGGATAGAAACAGTGGAAGCTAGAGCTAATTGGCTAACAAGGATCACGTCTATGATCAAACACGTCTATTGCTAGCCAAATAGCTTTAGTCTTCACCGCGTCCTTCCTATTTCTATCTGTAATACCATATCCATCACTTCCTACGTCCTAATCTCTTGTGTGCCAACCCACAAATGTCATGATTCTACTTGTTTTGATAAGGCTTATTCAAGACGTCTCCTGATTATTCTGATTTTTTCTTTCTTTCTCGTCCCCTTGCGATCTCTTTTCCTAAAATTAAAGATATTATCTTGACCCAATCGTATTTTTTTGCTGATCTTCCTGTTGCCCGATCTTCTCCTAGTTTGTTTAGCCAATATGCAAAGTTTTCGCTGATCCCGCCTTCTTCAAGCCTCCTGTTCATTAGACTTCTCTCAGTCAGTATATCAATAATCTCTCGGATCTTGCGTTTTCTTGTATTTTCACCAAATGCAGCCAACCTTTCGGTCGATTTTCAGTCGATTTCATGCCCCTTCCGTGCAATGAGTTCTGCTATTTCTGATCCTTGTGTATTTATGTTCCTGCAGAGTCTTTGATGTTCCTTCATTCGTAGGCTGATTTTTCTTCCTGTTTTACCGATATACTTCTGCTCACAACTGCCGCATTTAATGAGATAAACTCCCGAACACTCAAGTTTATCCGTCTTCTCGTGTAGTTTTGGCAGATTGGTAAAAAATGTTTTCTTCTCCTTTGTTATCACCTTGATATTCCATTTTCCTAATAAAGTT